GTGGAAGCAGTTGTCTATCGTGTACCGGCGTCCAATCAGTCGAATCATCGGCCAATCGCATGTGGTTTACCCGTATAGAGCGCTCAATATGTCCTAAGGATACTGGACAGATAAGAAAAATGGTTTTCTGAGTGGATGGGCGAGACCTTGGAGCACGGCGTGATTAGCGGGGCATCACACTGATGAGTAGATTTTTAGATAGGAACTCTCATCGGAATATTTTACTCAAAAACCTGATTCACCAATGTCATTGAAACCGTAAAGCGAAGTGCACAGTTTATGGTCGTGACCAGTGGAGCTCTGGGTTTTGACTCACTCGTTGGATATGGAGAGCAACCACAGAATTGCTTTCACGCAGTTCGATTGTACCAGAAACGTGCAGGGAATGTTTATTTAGATACATCGCAACCTCATTTCTCGTTCTAGAGACTAAGAATAAATTCAATGGGGAACTTCATTCATAATTTGTTCTTAGTTTCAGTTTGTGCAACGATTCACTTCAGTGAGGCGATTTCGGTTGCTATTTTTTGGCCGTATATTTGGTGGAACAAAAGTGGATTAAACAGAATAATCAAAAAGCTTGGAGTAGGGCAACGATGGAAAATTCCGGTAGACCGAATTTGTGAAAAAATCGAGTAGACACTTGAGTAATACTGTTTACGACAGTCAATCATATTACTCAGTGTCTCGAGCCAACGATTAGACTTATCCTGAGGTCCCCGACGGTCGAGCCTAACTCGACCCGTATATCCCTGGTTACGGTTTCCATACGCGGTTTTATTTTGACCACATCTAATCTGCTTCCAGTCAATACCCGCCTCCAAAAACATCGCACACCGAAAAGGTCTACCGGTTACATGCGCAACGTATGACTTGAATACCGCGATCTACGGGAGTCAAGCAGTCGCTTCAATCTGCAACAGTAATTATCATCAATATTCTTTCTTTAACCCGGTCATTGCTTGTTTCCTTGCCTCGTTATACTCGGACAATGTGGCTTAGTGAACCGTTTTCGAACTTCAATAGGTCTATGATAGAAATCTGCGGTTATTTATTGGTTGGTATTCTTCTGCAGCAGTTTTTCCTACCGATAGTAATAGCTTCCCACTAGATCGAAATGTTAAGGTTGCCTTATGCACTTCGTCTGTTTCTTTAATGTCAGTCAGTAGCTATTCATTACATCATTGGTACATTTAATATGTCGATCCATTGCATTTCTGCAGAAACTACTGTAATTCGATAAAAGCCGAATACAATATCAGACGCCATCGACCATCAGTGATCCATGCTACTATTACCAAAGCAATCTGCTTTCTCCTCTGTGCAGATGAGTTCATCGAACATTGACCACTCGGAATGGGTCAATGCAATTATCACTGCCTTGAAGCAAGACGGTTCTGTCAGAATATGGGATAATTTACAAGTACTTAACCACCAAATAATGGTGAACCAATGTGCCTTGCCATCTGATGAATTTCTCGTTCAGTTGATTTATACTCCACTTTCAAATTGGATCTGCCAAAAGCACTTTCCTCATTCCTCTTCACTATCCTTCACCGCTTTCTGCTCGATGGAGTTATTGTTTTAGTATAAATGAATCAACTTTAGTCCTATCTTTTTTTATCAAATACCAGTTCGTGTGATGANCGGCAGACGCGACGGACCCCATAGTCACGAAGACCTGCGAATAGGTGATGTTAACCAGCAACCTGATCCCCGGGACTTGCAGTGGCGAACCATATAAGGCACCAATAGGTCAGGCATGGCAAAGAACCGGGTGACAGCAACGCTGTCTATCACCAAAGTTAGGTGGCGGTGGTGAGGCTCGAACCTCGGACCAAAGGGTCCAAAGCACGCCGGTGACAGTGAGTAAACCACTACGCCATCACCACCCTACCTGGATTCTGGGAGTACCGCGTTCACCACCGATTTATAATGAATGCTTCTGTAGAAACAACAACCACATTTACTATCCCTCCTCGTCCACCTGCTTGTCTCTCTCCGATCGCCGTTCATCAAAAGGCGGTCTGTCACATCGTTACTCCGGCGCTGGTTTTTTTAATTTGCGACCACTAGTCCGGATGTTGCTTCATTCAGTCACTCTGCTATCATNTCATCACTACCAAATGAACAACGTGTTCGGGCCAAACCGGTCTTCGAGTTGCATCGCTTAGGTGCATTGCCGCTCGGACCGCATAAATTCTCGCATTTGTTCGGCTACGTTGCCTTTAACGTTTTAATTGTATGCTGTATCACTCCCAAATAGCTTCCCCTCTTGGTTGCTTTACGCTAACGTCATTCCAAAATCCACAGAGTTCAGTGAAAAACCTGGGCAACTAAATAGCACAGGAATCTAACTCACCCAATCACCGGTTACGAAGATCAGTACAAAATAACCATTTGCTACTATTCGGTGTTTATCTGTCGCGCCCGAGAAGTGATTTTCGTAAAACCCTTTCTTTATGACGCGGGCAAAAGTCGAGCTGGAGAGTGAGTAAAGTGGTCTGTACCTTTTCCGCATCAGAGTCGAACTGGCGACCGGATTCCTATCTAGTCCTTATGCGTTTACTGGTTTAAAAATAGTCTGATTAAGCGATCAGTATCCTTGATTTCCGACTGATAAAACAGGCGAGTGATTTAACTCAACTGCATGTGCACGTGTGCAACAATTTAACCAGAATGCTAATTACCGCTTAGAATCATTTTCTATTGGTGACAGATGCACCAGTTTTGAGCTTTGAAATGTATCTTGCTATATATTTCGTGTTCTGGTGAGACACGTTGGATAAATCGAAGCGAGGTTGAACGGAAATACACTTTCTTGTATTTCATTGTTTGACATGGTTAACGGTCTCTAGTGGCGTTCCGCAAGGATCAGTACTGGGGCCAATACTATTTCTGCTTTTCATCAACGACCTGCCAGACTGCCTGGAATCGGAATGTCTATTGTACGCGGATGATCTGAAGATTTGGAGACCCATCCAGTCAGAGAGTGACGTGAACACCCTGCAGAGAGACCTGGACTGTT